AAAAACGGCTGAAAACGCTAGTGTGGACAGAGAGCGTTTTTGAACGAAAACCCTGTTTTCAAATGTATCCGGTTTAATGTGGACGTAGCCAAAGAGTCACAGACACACCCGCAAAAAGTCTTTCTTCAGGTGCAAGTATTTTTGAAAAAAAAAAAAAAAATCCAGTTTTGGAATGAAACAAGGGTAAGTAAATGATGAGAGAATGTTAATTAATGGGTAAATGATTCCCTTAAGCTTGCACAGGATGCTTACAGTGTTTCGCTTGGTTGCATGATCCATGTTGGCCAAGTTCTTGACCAGAGTTGTTGTGAGCATTTGGTTAGCCACCTCCAACACATCTGACGGAGATGTTTTGACCAGAACATCCTTCAGGACTAGAAAGAAAGAAAAAGACGACAACAAGAAATGAATCAGTACTGAAATTGAATACATTTCTGTCTCTAAAAAAAAGCCAGTGTGCGCAGGAAAGATAATATTAACCAATAATAAAACATTATTTCATGCTGTACATTCAATCTTAACTCAGACATAAGTCACATATGGAAGTTAAACCTTGTGAATGTAAGGTGATATCTATTGGACATTTCTTCGAATAAATTTCGGCAAATTAAAGGCAAAAAATAAAGGCAAATTTCATTTTTTCCCCCTAGCCTGTGAAATTTACCTTTGGCCCAATCCTGAGTAAGAGGATGCTTGGAGAGCAGAGTGGTTTCAGCAACCGATGATGTCATCTGCAGCTCCATACTCTCGGGTGCAGCATTGGTCAACACCAGAAATGGCAGGAGCTCCCAAATAATCTGTGCCTTAAGATCTGGGTTGCCCTCAATAATACGTGGGTCATCAAGAACTTGCACTGCCTCTTTTATCACTGAACCCCTGCAGAAAACAAGACCAGATAAAGCAACTTACTAAAGTATCTTATTTAGTGTGGAAACATTATCATTACGAGTGTACATGAATATATGGATTGATGCATCATAATATAAAAAATAATTCTATGTTGTATTGATGTAAAGTGTAAAAATATAAAATAAGGACATTTAAAATCTACTTTTATTTTGCCACGTATACACTGAATAAAAGTGGTTAAAACTAGGGCTGGGCGATATGGCCCAAAAAAATTATCACGATAATTTTTTTTATATCAGTCGATATCGATAATTATCACGATACATGTCAAATATTTATTTTTTTAAGTTTAAAGGCAGATTTTTGTAACTAAGTGAAAGTTGTATAAACCAGAGTGTTAATTGTGTTTTTAAACTACTCTTTCAATTTATGTTCATTAACAAAAACAGTAACATCTGTTTTTTTGTTGGTTTTTTTTCCTATGCAACAACCATATTTTTATGTGGTAAAAAGTAATATTCTGACTGTTTGAGTTGTATTCAAATTAACCATTGGTCATCCAGTATCATGCATTTTTAGATCATGATAACACAGATAAAAACCAGTTATAGCCTTAGCTCCTCACTATAATGGCATAACTTTATGGTTTCTGTATTTTTTTGTATGAAAAACAATAGCCTAACAGTTAAATACATTATTAAATACTGTACTTATATTCCATTAGTCATAATACATTGTCTACATTAATAATATTATACAATATCTATATCCCACATGTCATGGTGCAGTTAACCTTATTACCAGGCTAACCGTAAATCCATGGGAAGCTAAATGGATTCAGTATCAATTCAGATTCTGACTGTATCGTTGCACGCAGTGTTTCTCCTTTTTGTCAGCGGTGTTTCATCTGCCTTTAAACTGGTTTAAACTTGACATTTGTGTTCTTCGCTGAACTCAAGTGCTTCTCACTGGATCTCGTGAGCAAAACGATCAGAGGCGCGTCTGCGTGAGCTCGCGCTGCACTCAGTGCGCTGCCATTTGGACTTTGACCCGAGCGGATAAATGCTCCGTGTGGCGCGCGCGGTTAAATGAGTTTCGTTCCGCTTTTGACGCATAAACATTATCGAACAATTATCGACCTCTTGATATCGTTTTATCGAGGAAAATTATATCGCGATAATTATCGTTATCGTTTTATCGCCCAGCCCTAGTTAAAACTTACTTTATCATAAAGATGCAAAAAAAAAAAAAAAAAAGTTCACCCCAGATTGACCCCCAAAAATTGAAAACCTATAGTTTCAGATTTAAAGAAGATGTATATGTATGTATATATATATATATATATTATATATAAAAATCAGTTAACTAACCACTCTGGAGATGGTTTGATGCGATGAAGAAGTGAAATCAAACAGGAAACAGTCTCCTCTGGATCAACAAGTCCCACGTGAAGCTGTCAAGCAACCATAACTGACAATTAACATTTAGATTGTACAAAAAGACAAATTGAAATTTATAAATTATATATATATATATAATAAAAAGAAGGCATTTAAGACGTGGTCATCTTACTTGCAATGCTTTAAGTGCAGACAGCACAACCTCTGACGCTTCATCTTTCACTCTCTCCAGCAATGAATCTTTCAAAAATGCCTCATTAAAGCCATTCTGCTCCATAAAGATACACAGACAAAAAGATGAACTTTATTAATGTGCATCTCTTGGATTTCAATGGGATGATATGAGAAAAACAAGGTGAAAATGGTAAGCTAACGTCAAAAGAGAATACAAAAGATACACACATGTTGTGAGGTGAGGATTTTCATCAGGTAGTCTACTGCCATATTTCTCACAGAGGGTAGTGGATGGTTCAGGCTTAGCATCAGAGAGGTGTCCGACTCAGGCAGGATCTGCATATAAACAACATCTTTAAGTCTTGTTTAAGTTTTATTAAAGGTTCACTTAAATGATTCAAGATTGTTAACAGCATTCTATAACTGATTGGAAATTTGAGAGCAGATTAAAAAAAGAACAGAATACCATTGCAGATCAGAAAAATGGAGAAAGACCATCTTTAAAAGGTAATTATAAACTAAACCCAGATGGAACATTTGACAAACGTAAGAAATTTAAATCACTGGAGCTCATCATATGAAACGTACTCAACACTTGTAAGTAGGGATGTAACGATTCACTCTCAACCGGTAGAAAAATCAATAAATATGTGTGACGATTCAAGTCGGTTGAAATGTTAAACGAATCGCGATACACGTTTTAAACAGCAGGAGCATTACTGTGAAGTTGTGAACCTCGCATTACACAATAGCAGCGAGCACACACTGGCGCAAACATAGCGAGTGTATTCACTTCATTCCTAAGGAACTTGAGTTTGTGTGAGCACTCATAATAATGAACTGAAAACGCTTGGTTTGCTCCGCTCGCGCCGTGCCATAGACTGCACGCGGTGTCAAACACATGGCGACGGCAAGCGTAGATGTAGACTCATTCAAATCGGAGCTGTGGCGGCATTTTGACTCTTCGTAGACTAATAATAATCACCACCGTGAGATGCACATCACCTGTTTTCACGTAAAAGTCATTAATATGACAAGTGTGAGAGCTACGGAGATCACAAGGTGCGTCAGTGTTTCCATGGCAACCATGTGTTGTATTTATTTTACCATCTCTTTCTCTCAATGTCGTGTACATGGATTTATTTAGTTTTTAAAATAATTTGTTGATGGTTATGGCATATTTTGTTAAATAACTTTTTTTAACTCTTTCTATGATACAAATTATGACAAAATTAAAAGCTTTCCTTCATTACAACGTAAATGCCTGTCAATGTGATACTAATTTTACAGTCTTTTACTTAGTGTGCAAAGGTACCAGTGTCCAGCCTTTTGACCAGACAGACAGAAACACCGAGTTGAAACAACCTTGAAGGGAATTTTTTTTTTTCAATGTAGTTTTATTATTTGACAAATATATTTCAAAATGGAAAAGAAATGTGCAACATTTTGTCTGAGAAATAATAAAAGAGACACTTTTTCATTCATAATTTGTCTTAAATCTCATTTGTTTTAAAAATCGTATCGTGAAACCGGTATCGTGAATCGTATCGCATCGTGAGTTGAGTGAATCGTTACATCCCTACTTGTAAGATTTAATCATTAAAATGAGGAAGTTGTTTTATTGATTTATATATTGGTATTATATATAATATTATATCATGTTTGCATTTACAGTGTGTTTTAATGCTGTTTAAGGTGTACAGTCTCTTTTTGTTTGTGCGAAAATCATAAAAAATTTCTAAATAAATTTGTTTTTTTAAACATTAATATCTCTTATTACACAGCACTCTGTATTCCTTTTTAGTTTGAATACTTCTGATTGGTCAATGACAGCATTCTGCATATTTTCTGTATAATTGATTGTTACCACAGGCAACTGATTTAATATGTATCTGTGTCACATATTAACTAATATCAGTTTCACATCAGGGTTCCGATTATGCTGTCAGAATGTATTTTGTGATAAAGGTCAGCTAACTATTCTGGAAGTCACAAATAATCCATAAAATTGTAAAGACTGTTTGCAAAAAATAAAAAACACAGTGTGGTTGCCTACCTGATATTTTCCACAGCTCATAGTAAGAGAGATGAACTGATGAAGCAGACTTTTTTCATCGTCAGAGATCACATTTTTGACACGGTTTTCCAGTGCCACATCCAACGCACATGGATACCTACGAGTAAAAAACATTCAAATAAACAAAACACTCCTTATGATTTGATAACATTTTACTAAACCACAAAAGTGCAGAAGTACCTGGATTCAAACAGTCGTACAGTAGATTGAATTCTCTGATTAAGAGTTGAAATCCTATCTGAGGGAAGCTCACTGCCGCAGGAAACATACTCCTCAATAAGCAGCCTGTTCAAAGCAGTAAATGTAAAAGAGTAAAGATTTAATAAAGCAGACCATGAATCATGCATAATGTCCAGAGTAAAGAGAGTTTAACTTATAATCGAGGCTAAATTAAACTCTGCTTACTTGGCTGCAGTGTTCTCCAAGTTGCTGGACAGTTGAAGATTCTGAAGCACTGATTCTAATAGTCCAGTACTTTGAGACAAACCTTCAATCTGCTGCTCATCTAGAGGGAAACAAAAAATAAACCAATTAATCATGTGATAGCAGCGATTTTACTATGATTATTAAGTATTTAAAAAATAAAATAAAGTCGCTTTGGATAAAAGGGTCTGCTAAATGACTAAATGTAGGTATTATGTACAGTATAATGGGTCCAGGTATTAGTTCCCTTGATACTACCAATCAAAAGTTTGAACATTCATACTTTATTATGAGTACTTTGCATGTTTAATGACACTTGAAGTAAAGGCTAAAATACATTACACAACTTTTGGCCATATTTTTTAAATGATTATCAGTCTGGACCATAGAGTCACGTCACCCACAGGTTTCTAAAGAGCATTTTTGAAGCCCAAAGTGGGTGGAGCCAGTCGTCGCCGTGTTGGTAGCGCATCACTCCCGGATAAACCAAAATGGGCGGGATTAGCTGAGGTGACAACTAACAGACAGCAGACAAATGGCTACTAGTGACAACAGCAGCAATACACCGGTCACTCAAGGGACCACACCCTTAATTAATTTATCTATGCATCTTCTTTTACTTTAAATTCGTTTTATAACTATCATATATCTCTTTTAACTGGTTTAATTTTCCTTGCTTTCATTTTGCGATTATTTTAATTCCTTTCGGTAAAGCACTTTGAATTGCCATAGAGTATGAAACATGCTATATAAATAAAACTTGCCTTGCCTAATTATGCTGAACTTTAATGGGTGAGTTAAAAAATATATAATTTAATATAATAAATGCAATACTTCACACATTCTGTGAATGAATGTAATTTTACCACACTGCTTTATCTCTGTCTGATTTTATGTTGAAAGTATGCTAATAAAACAGCCATCATTTTCACCCTTCCAATTCAAATATTGCCTTGCAAACATCAATACAGCTAATTCTGAATATAATTCTTTCCATCCACATTGTGCATTAAAATCTTTTAATGCACAGCTAGCTGTAGATTATCCCTTGCTTGCATAAATATACACATATTCCATTATTTATGAATTTTGATTTCATGGTTCACACAGAGCAAAGATAAAAACCAACCATCTTGCGTCATCACAGACTGTATGAGATGGGGAAGGAGGTATCGCAGTAAGGGACTGATGTCATGGACTGTAGCTATAGTTTGGAGTGTGGGCAGCAGGGTAGGGGTAGCAGACAGGAACCCAAATGCCCTAATGGGAAAAGACAAAAAATAAGAATATTAGATGCAGATAATGGTGAGAGAAATATACCCGACTAGTCCTATTCAAAGACAAAGTAGAGTACAAATTACTAAAACTTACTTTGGACCAACTACACCTTCTTTCTGGTTCTGCAAGAGGATGATAACGCAGCTCAAACCCTCTCTGGTCAGCTGTGGCATTTGACCTAGAGACTTGCACAACAGCAAGGTCAGAGTGTCCACCAGCTGATCCTCCATCACTACCTTCACAGCCATCTGACACACGATCATGTAAGTGGCAGCAGTGTAGTCTAAAAAGTTAGATTTCAGCCCCTGGTTATGTAGGGAAAAAGCAGAACATGATTTAGGTTCAGTTGCTTACATCCTTTCTTGGAACAATATTCCTATCATATTTATTTTTTTCCGTCCCATTTGGTGATATTGACCTTTAAAATGTGGAAGACAAATATATTATATAACTACAATTAAGTAATTTTGAGTACATTGCATTTGCTATCATTAAATTGTATTATGTATATGGGTAATACATTGCCCCCACTGCTTGACATGGACACTGGGAACAGTTATTGACTGTTTACATCAACATCATCACTCCGATACTAATGGAATCTGGCAATATACTAGGGCTGAACGATTAATTGCATTTGCGATAAAATCGCGATATGATGAAACGCGATTTTGTAATCGCAAGAGCTGCGATTACACTGGTCACGTGACACGCGAGAGAAAAGCAGTCTGCAAGATAAAGCATCAACTTGCCACGCTACGCGGTCTGGCGTTCAGAAAAGAACAGTTTATTTTTAATGTGATATTGTGTTATTTATTCTCTCCTCTCCTCAACAATCCTGGATCGATTCAGAGAATTTCAGAATCGAGTATGAGCTTAGTTTTTAAACACAGATGCGTGATGACGCTGCGCGTGCTTTAGAAACGAGCCTCTCTCGCTCTCTCTGTTCCTCACTCACACACACGACACCGCTCGAACCTTCCAAAACATAGTAACGTTATTTAATAAAGTTCGGGATTGAACCGAATTACAAGGACATTCGCGGGCTTCATTGAACAGGTTTTGCCGCTTTGCTTGATGTTATAACGATCCACTTGCAGTTCTCTCCCGCGGGAATTTTCTTTACAAATGCTTCACAGAGGCATTATTTATGTCTTTTGGAAAGCAGTTGGCTTATATATTAAAACCGTGAAAATCACTGAAGGCTGCTTTCATTTTAAAATACTAACGAGTGCTTTGTGAAGAGCGCTCTTGCATGCGGCTGTGAGTGACTCATTGGTAAATGTACTTGCATGTCAAAATGCTTTTATGGGCGAAATTAATGTAAACACGGTCAGTTATATCTTAAACCAACAGGACAAACCACATTTACAATTTCAAAAGAGATATATGCATTAGTGTGAATGCAGCTTATCGTATCTAAACTGAGGGGAAATCACTCCAGCTCTTGAATGAAAAACATTCAGACAGCCTACTTTTAAATACTGAGACCACTCTTTGTTTATTGCTTGTAATGTTTTGTTTTTTTGTTGTTTCTCTTTATTTACTAGCTTTTATATTTTGAAGCTATATTATTTTATATAGCCTATTTAAAATTCTTAACATGTAATTTGTTTAATTAAATGTTTTTTATATTTATTTTTTAAAATATGTGTTTTTACACATGTAATTAAATACATATTTTAAGAGTTATTAAGATTAATTAATAAGAAAAAAAGTAGATCGGATCATGAGCTATCTAAAGATTCCCATCCCTACTGTACAATGATTTATTGCTTGTCTTTGTCGACTAATACAGAAGGTAAATAACTTTTTTTTTAAATCGCATATTAAATCGCAATCGCAATATTGGTTAAAAAAATCGCAATTAGATTATTTTCCAAAATCGTTCAGCCCTACAATATACCCATTATTAGAGTCATGAGAGCTCTCCAATTCGATTGACTAATTTAGTTTAAGACAATATTTCTTATGCAGACTACTTAAAGGAGAACTCCGGCGAACAATAAACCTTTGGTCTAATAAAACATCGATACATAGTCAACCGTTCTCTGAGATTTGTTTTCATGAATGTAGTCGAATGTAAAGAGTTTTATCTCTAAAAACTGTTTAGCATATAATGCTAGTAATGGGGGCATTTACTAAGTAAAAAGAAATCGCTAGTTATACTACTAACAAGGCTCAAAATAGCCCCACACTAACGCAGTAACATAATGAGGGTCCATACATGCAAAACGAAGCATTGAGAACTTTGTAAGTGTACAGACCGTTTAATAAGATATTTTATAAAGACAGTTCACTTCACGTATACAGACAGGAGCCATCTTAAAAAATAGACTCGATAAGTCAAACCACGAACGCCGTTCATACAGTTCAGATCACTCAGCACGACGTTCGTGGTTTGACTTATCGATACTATTTTTTAAGATGGCTCCTGTCTGTATACGTGAAGTGAACTGTCTTTATAAAATATCTTCTTATTAAACGGTCTGCACACTTACAAAGTTCTCAATGCTTCGTTTTGCATGTATGGAGCCTCGTTATGTTACTGTGTTAGTGTGGGGCTATTTTGAGCCTCTTTAGTGGTAGTTTTTAGAGATAAAACTCTTCGGTGTGTGAATGAGTGTGTGAATGGGTGAATGTGAGGCAAATGTAAAGCGCTTTGGTGGCCATTAGGTCTATGAAGGCGCTATAGACCATTTCACAAGATGTAAACAACACTGGTCCAGAAGCACTTCCTGTTTCAGTTTTTTAACACTACATAAAAGCTGGGATAAAATACAACCAACAGAACATTTAAAACTGAATCAAAAAGTTAAACAAACATCTTTAAGATGTTTTCTTTACATGTGAAATAAAGAAAACGGTTACAAACTGAAACAGGAAGTGTTTCTGGACCAGTGTTGTTTACATCTTGTGAAATGGTCTATATAAATGCAGTCCATTTACCATTTACATTCAATTATCATGAAAACAAATCTCAGAAAACGGTAGACTAGGTACTAATGTGTTATTAGACCACAGGTTCATTTTGTACTGGAGTTCTCCTTTAAAGTTACATAAAAAATAATTATACAATATTACAAAAATATAATCCATCAAAAATCTCAGACACATATACAATATAAATGTAACCACATCTGCATTATGTTACTGAATTATTGTCTTACCAGTTGTACAAATGGAAGCAGCTTGGAAATGATAGAATTAGTTATCTTCTCCACTGCATCAAGTGCAGAAACGATGGTAGATGCATAGAAGGAGAAAATCACACGCAGTTGTGGACAGTTCCCATCCCGGAGTAATCCAGAGTACGCCTACAATATGATTCAAAGCATTAACCAGAGCAGAATTACTGGATTGGCAGACTTTATCCCAGCATAGACAGGTTTCTTACCCTTACTGAATTTGTGACCATAGAACAAATGAAATCCATGAAGCCTAAATCCTTATAGCAGTGTGTGAGCAGAGTTCCTCGTGCCAGAGGAACCCCGGGTTTCTATAGATAAAGCACAGGGTAGTTAGAAGAGACAAAGCAAAAATGAAAGTAAATCTTTCTTTACCCTGACAAGTTGACAACATATACGAATTGATATGATTTACCTGAAGTCCATGCAGCCAGTGCCATTTGTGGGTTGGATCCTCTATCTTTAAAAGCTGGATCACTCGTACAAACACTTTAGTCTCATGATACGGTAAAACACAAGCAATCAGGCTGTCCATGTTGTACAGCTGAATGTGGAATCTGAAATCAAGTTCAATTTTCCATCAAGGTCAAGATTTTTCCACGCTACAATATTACATTATAAAAGGTCTATGATCGATATGCTACTAGTTCTCAAAACGATATTGCAAAAAATAATGACCAAACCAATGGTTTTCAGGAAGTCAGTCTACAAATGGTTTACTTACAGCTGTCTTTGTTTATTCAGCAGCATTTCAAAATCCAATAAATTACACACTTTAAATCAAGAAAATCCCTAAAACAGCACAATTTTGCCACTAACAAGTTTATCACACTCAAACCCCCAGTTTCACAAACAAGGCTTAAGCCTAGTCCTAGACTATAATGCATGTTTGAGCTGTATTAACTGAATGTCAGCCTACAAATGCATATGTCAGTGCCATTGTTTTGTATCAAGATGCACATCATCAGTAATGTTTTTTTAAAGGATTAGTTCACTTTTGAAAAAACTTTTGCTGATGATTTACTCACCCCCATGTCATCCAAGATGTCCATGTCTTTCTTTCCTCAGTCGAAAAGAAATTAAGGTTTTTGATGAAAACATTCCAGGATTTTTCTCCATATAATGGACTTCAATGGGAACTGGATGGTTCAAGGTCCAAAAGACGGTTAATAACTGTTTCAGATGCAGCTTCAAATGTCTTTAAACGACACCAGACGATGAATAAGGGTCTTATCATGCGAAACGATCGGTTATTTCAAAACTTGTTCCAAAAATGTAACTTTTCTAAGGACAAATGCTAGCCTTGCTCTATTCTCTGAGGCGCGTTTGTAACGTCACGTAATACGTAATTACGTTCAAAATGTCACGGGCGACGTAGCCGGAAGTACAGAATCAAAATCGTCCGACATCGTTGTTTTTCCTTTTAATTCCTTTTTTTGTAAACGGCGTTTGAGTTAGTTTGCACGTTCAACCTATGCGTTCAACTTGTAAACACTGACTCTGTACTTTCGGCTACGTCGCCCATGACCTTTTGAACGTAATTACGTAATACGTGACGTTGCAAACGCGCCTCACAGAATAGAGCAAGGCTAGCATTTGTCCTTAGAAAAGTTACATTTTTGGAATAAGTTTTGAAATAACCGATCGTTTCGCATGATAAGACCCTTATTCATCGTCTGGTGTCGTTTAAAGACATTTGAAGCTGCATCTGAAACAGTTATTAACCGTCTTTTGGACCTTGAACCATCCAGTTCCCATTGAAGTCCATTATATGGAGAAAAATCCTGGAATGTTTTCATCAAAAACCTAAATTTCTTTTCGGCTTAGGAAAGAAAGACATGGACATCTTGGATGACATGGGGGTGAGAAAATTATCAGCAAAAGTTTTTTCAAAAGTGAACTAATCCTTTAAGGCACAGGTCCTAATTAAACTAAAGCCTAATCCTGGCTTATTCTAAGACCAGGCGTAACACAATAGTCTGCAAACTCGTAAGTGTGACAATGGCAAATCTACTGAATTTACCTGTGTATCAGCCATTCAATGCATTTCAGAGCAGGCTTGAGCAGAAAGTAAGGCGACAGTCGAGTAAGAAAGAGTGAGATGCTCTTGTCCAGTTTCTTGTTGACCTCTTTGGACTGAATGCTGCGCTCTAAAGTCAGAGAGGCTTGACTAAACAGAGTCTCCTGAAACTCACTGAATGCTGGATCAATACCCATCAGCTCCTCGAGTCCTGTGCAGCCTGTTCAGAAACATCAATTGTGAAAACAGAAATATCAACAGTGTACTACTTACCTAGGAGAGTTCTTGTGAATAAAAAGGTAACTAAATGGGTTACGGTTAGGTTTAGAAGACTATGCAGCATATTTTCATTTGATTAATAAATTTGTGCTCCCGACCAAGCTTCAGTGTGTCCGTAGAGGGTTGGAGGAAAAACAAGAAAAAGCCCTGGTAAGACCAGTAACTCACCCAGTGCATAGAAGGTGCTGCGGTCCATGGTAGCAGCATCTTTAGGGTCAAAGAGCACAGAGGCCACCTCTCTTCGACTGAGCAGATTCGAGTCATTCTGGGGCAAGGCCAGCCGCTTCAACTGATGTGCTAATGATGTCATCTGTGATGATAAAATGACTTAAGTTTTTTTTTACACAATGTAACCAACCATTCTGCAATTTCAGTGGGTAAATCTTAATGTTATATTGTATTAAAGGTCATTTTCACCTCAAAATAAGTGATATTCTACTGAAAAAACTTATTTGCATCGCAATATTATTTATTGTTGAGATTTAACCTCGCCTTTTTAGTATAATTAGGGGTTCAAGCACGAAGTGCTGAAACCCTATTGTAATTGTATTGATTTTTATTATTAGGGGTTCAAGCACGAAGTGCTGAAACCCTATTGTAATTGTATTGATTTTTATTATTATTATTATTATTATTCTCCCCTAAAACGCATCGTGCAGCCCAAACCGTAAGGGCTAGAGCTCTGAAACTTTGTCAGATGGTAGTACAAAAATCGAGGAGAGGTTATCAAATTATGAGCCCGATTGGCCCATAGGTGGCGCTATAGCGACCAATTGCGCGAAACGGCTCATAACTCCTAGACCGTAAGTCGTACACTCAAGTGTCTTATATCATTGGAAAGCTGGTCACCTGACGAAAAAAACGTATATCTCCGATTTCATTTCCAGTATGGAAATTTTTCCGCCATTTTGAATTTTGTCGAAAAACTACTTTTGCGAACTAGTCCCTGGTTTTTTGCCCGATCGGAACCAAACCAGTGCAGAAATGTTCTCTGGAGTCTGAAGATCAATAATTATCAAAAAAATGTTGAAATTTCTATTTCCGGTCGCTAGGGGAAGCAAAATAAACGTTGTGGGAGGAGCCTATTTTACTAAAATGGCTATAACTCGAGAAGTAAATGAGATATCTTCACCAAACTCGGTACACATCTGTAAGAGTTCAATTTGAGGTCACAGTAAAAAAATAGCGACGATTGAACACTAGGTGGCGCTATAACATGAAAAAAACATAAAAAGGGCTATGACCACATGACCGTTAGTCCGATTGACTTGAAAATTGGTATGCAGTGTCTTGGACCAAGGCCCCATGTATATCTATGAGGACATTGGCGTATCTAAAAAAACATGGCCGCCATCGGCCAATGAAGTTTGAGCATCTATGAAACAAGGTTAACGAAGGCCGATCGGAACGAAACTCATTGGGCATGTTTGACTCATGGCCCTAGAGGTCTGTAAGAATTTTGAAAGAAATCGGCCACTAGTTGGCGCTAACGAGTTTTATGGCTCTGTTATCACGTGGTATTGCACACACCCCCACAATATGTATATCAATTGATAGATCTCCTCATGCTGAACAACTTTGCCTCAAGAACTATTGCTGTCAATCAAATCGTTCGTTAAATATTCACGAATATGTTAAAAACGTACTTTTGCAAACTAGTCCCTGGTTTTTTGCCCGATCGGAACCAGACCAGTCTAGGATAATTCTTTGGACTCTCTAAATCAATAATTATCAAAAAAAGTTGAACTTTGTCATTTTTTTTGCTATAACAGGGTCATTTATAAAAGGGGGCATGACAAAATGCACCCAAAAGCCTATAAATCCTAAAGGAAAAGTCAGAACTTCACAAAAATTGATGAGCACATGTGTCATAACTTATTCAACAAGCATGCAAAGTTTCATGGAGATCGGACTATAGGTGGCGCTATAACTGTTAAAGATGTTAAAAACAATGTATTCCCTATGGTAAATTGCCATTATTGAAACTTAAAACTTAATGTCTTTTGATGCTTTTGTGCTCATAGGCCTTAACGGCCTAAACTGCTTGAACCCCGCTAAATGCTGCTTGCAGCTTTAATTATTATTATTATTATTCTCCCCTAAAACGCATCGTGCAGCCCAAACCGTAAGGGCTAGAGCTCTGAAACTTTGTCAGATGGTAGTACAAAAATCGAGGAGAGGTTATCAAATTATGAGCCCGATTGGCCCATAGGTGGCGCTATAGCGACTAATTGCGCGAAACGGCTCATAACTCCTAGACCGTAAGTCGTACACTCAAGTGTCTTATATCATTGGAAAGCTGGTCACCTGACGAAAAAAACGTATATCTCCGATTTCATTTCCAGTATGGAAATTTTTCCGCCATTTTGAATTTTGTCGAAAAACTACTTTTGCGAACTAGTCCCTGGTTTTTTGCCCGATCGGAACCAAACCAGTGCAGAAATGTTCTCTGGAGTCTGAAGATCAATAATTATCAAAAAAATGTTGAAATTTCTATTTCCGGTCGCTAGGGGAAGCAAAATAAACGTTGTGGGAGGAGCCTATTTTACTAAATTGGCTATAACTCAAGAAGTAAATGAGATATCTTCACCAAACTCGGTACACATGTGTACGAGTTCAATTTGAGGTCACAGTAAAAAAATAGCGACGATTGAACACTAGGTGGCGCTATAACATGAAAAAAACATAAAAAGGGCTATGACCACAAGACCGTTAGTCCGATTGACTTGAAAATTGGTATGCAGTGTCTTGGACCAAGGCCCCATGTATATCTATGAGGACATTGGCGTATGTAAAAAAACATGGCCGCCATCGGCCAATGAAGTTTGAGCACCTGTGAGACAAGGTTAACGGAGGCCCATCGGAACGAAACTCGATGGGCATGTTCGACTCATGGCCCTAGAGGTCTGTAAGAATTTTGAAAAAAATCGGCCACTAGTTGGCGCTAACGAGTTTTATGGCTCTGTTATCACGTGGTGTTGCACACACCCCCACAATATGTATATCAATTGATAGATCTCCTCATGTTGAACAACTTTGCCTCAAGAACCATTGCTGTCAATCAAATCGTTCGTTAAATATTCACGAATATGTTAAAAACGTACTTTTGCGAACTAGTCCCTGGTTTTTTGCCCGATCGGAACCAGACCAGTCTGGGACAATTCTTTGGACTCTCTAGATCAATAATTATCAAAAAAAGTTGAACTTTGTCATTTGTTTTGCTATAACAGGGTCAATTAAAAAAGGGGGCATGACAAAATGCACCCAAAAGCCTATAAATCCTAAAGGAAAAGTCAGAACTTCACAAAAATTGATGAGCATATGTGTCATAACGTATTCAACAAGCCTGCAAAGTTTCATGGAGATCGGACTATAGGTGGCGCTATAATTGTTAAAAATATTAAAAACAATGTATACCCTATAGTAAATTGCCATTATTAAAACTTACAACTTAATGTCTTTTGATGCTTTTGTGCTTAAAGGCCTTAAAGGCCTAAACTGCTTGAACCCCGCTAAATGCTGCTTGCAGCTTTAATTTACATTGTGATTATCATTGGATTTTTCATTAACTTACTATATAATACAATTGCGATTTGCGAATAAACAATCTGAAATCATTTTAATTTATTTTGACCGGAGAAAAGGGACTTGGACAATGGACTTATTCTTAACAGGCTGTATATGAGATTTGGCGCATATGTGGTGGACCAAAAATCGTACCTTATATTGATAACGTTACAACAAATCAGACGAAGATGTTTAAATTACAATTAAAATGACATGTGATAACTATTTTGGCCTGCTAAAGCACTTTTCTTTTGCACACAGGCTATAGCGACACATGGAAAAGTTATTCTCGCCTAAAATATCAAATGTTTTGATTCAGTTTATGTGTTTAGTAGTCGTCGCAGTAAATATATTCTCATACCTTTGGTTGCAGTTATTACAGCAGTATCCACGTGTGTGAGCCTGGCAGCCTCTGCAAGTGTACGTTTCCCTCTCTGGTTTGTTTTCGGTGGCACATGAATCAGTTTCTGTTGTTACACTGCCACCTAGTGCATCGGATCTCTTTAGTGTTTTACGACAGTGTGCATTACTGCCACCTGCTGTCTCACTTTAACTTAAAATAATAAAATTCGTCCTTTCAGTCGGGTGAAAAGACTTTTTTTTTCGTCAGCAGAACAATCCTGTCTGACGTTATATCTGATTGATATGCATATCACAGCCTCGCTTTCATTCCCGTTAAAAGACGACGCTGCTAAGAATACTATTTTTTACAATAAGTTCCTATTTCCCGTAGCTGATTCTTCAACTCTTTGCCCGTCTTTACATTTCTTGCATTATATATGATAGATGTGCTTATAATTGTTCGCTCCTCCTGACAGTCATATGGTCAATCCAGTCTATCTGTGTTAGTTCCTTTTATTTCCTTTTTACTCTCCATACCTATTTTTGTATCGTGTCTAACTTTAATTTCATTAGTGTCCATAAGAGGGCGCCGTGCAGACAAACATTTAAAGTCATTGTTTGCATTTTCGTTCATCTATTATATTTTTCACATTATAGATTCAGCATTTATATTTCTTTTTATAGCCTAAAGAACCACAGAAAAAATATATATATAATATATAACTGTCAAATTTAAACATTTAATGCTATTATGATAATCCTGCACTATATATATATAAAAAATTAGACGTAGGCTATAAAACACGTAGGCCTATAAACAGTTATATTTAGAACCTATCATCCTGAAGGACCATTTATGCTGAAATAGTTCTTCTTTGTGTTGTTTAGGGTTCTTTTTCCCCGCCTTTTTGTTTTTGTTTTTCATCTGTAACAGAAGCCACCACACTGTCTTTAAACATTCAATTCTTTCTTAAAATGTCTATAAATTATCACTTGAAAATGTTTAACTGGTTTCATCTTTTTATCTTTTTAGTTTAACTGAACATGTTTAAGCAGCTCTGTTCAGTTAAGGATAGCCTATTCTCTTCTCCACAACGTAGGCTAAGTAATGAGATATGGGATTTATAATGATCCATATTGTTTTATTAATTTATGCCTAAACATATACAGCCGTAAACACATTAAATATGACTTCATATCACTTTTCCCTTTTAACACGTAAAGGGCTCAGTAGGCTATGCTATACTGTTCATTTTTGCTAATTTTGGCATTCATCATGAACATAATGTTTTCTACATAATGAATTTGAATACGTTTAATGTCATTGTAAGCCGATAGCCTACGAAATGTAGTCTGGCATTCGAAAAGTGCGCGCGCACACACACACACACACACACACACACACACTCCAAAAATATGAATATCTAATGTAAACAAATGGTACAGAATGTAAATGTAATCAGTGCAATATAATAAATCCTATGTATCAAATGCTTCAGAATATTCAAAGTATTTCAGATGCTGCCATCATAGAGAGAATCTGCCACTCAGAAATACACTCGGAAGAGGGGTGAAGATATTTCACTGGAACTTGGTCTTCATTACATATTGTGTTCAAGACAGGTTCAATGTCAATTGTTATTTTAATATATAGCTAACAATTGTTTTTAAAGCAATGTCATTTTTGCTACAATCTGCCATGACAATAAAAATAAAAGTAGGATATCCTAATTGAAACATTAGGTATATACCTAATTGAAACATGCTGTTTAAAAAAAATGTTTAAACCCAATTAGAGGCAACAATATATAATAAGGCCAGGCAGATGACAAAATAATAATAATAAATAATATATAAAAATAATAGTAATAGTAGTAATATTAATAATTTGAAGATACTACTATATTAATGACTATAAATATTGTTGAAAAGGTTATTTTTAACACCATTAAGGTCATAGCACGTTCAAAGCATGGTTCTTTTATGGAAACGTATAAAAACGGTTTTATATAGCACCAAAAAGGGTTCTGGTGTTACAAGCCGAAGAAAATTTATTTGGGACTGTTCAGAACCATTTTTCTTATACTCAAAATTAACTTCAGTCATCTTTAAAATAACAACATAATCAAACATCTAATCAATGTTTCATAAAATGTTGAAAATATTGTAGCACATCTTGTATGTAGAGCTGTAGTGGAGATATGTAGTAGCAGCCTATAGAATTTAGAAGCAGAAGTGTTTTGGCTATTTTCATATGACCGTTCAGTTATTTTACACTTACAATGATTTTTGAATCAGTGATTGCATTACAAAAGTGAATAAAAAATAATAATAATCTGACAAAACAATATGGCATTTTAATCTATCTACATATACAAACATTTTACCTACAAAAAGAGAAACCTTTATTTGTTATTTTTTTATTTATTATATTGGTAGCCTATACCCTACTTAAAAATAAATAAATGTGTAGAGCTAAACACTAAACTTCACAACTGAAAACCTAATGTTAGGTGTCAGTGGTGGTCTATATTTTATGGAGCCCCGGTATGAGGAATTAAAGTGTGACCCCTTAAAAATCTATTGCGAGGGTGTGAAATGAGACGCGCTCTATGACCCGGTATCTCTGCGCTGCTGCAGCATCAGTGGGAAAGGCAGAGATCTGCAGCTGACTAAATCAAGAGATCAAAAACGATCCGGATTATAAATGCACAATCTGTCGTGAAAAAAAACAGGGCTCATCGCTGTTCTAGTTTCTCCTTTAGTGTTTTGCGAATGCATGTGTGATTTACACATTAATCAGCGTTTTTTTTCTCTCACAGACGGAAAGATGGTGCGGTGCTTGTGCCATGCCGCTGACGGACACTCTACGCGCATTCATGGGAATTAATTCACTGTTCTCTTCATCATATTCCAGGGCACATTATTGTTCATCAGTGACAGTTTTGTCCTGACAAAAAAACGTCTGGGCCAACGACTCAGAGATGCTGTTATCGCATCGCCTCGGAGAAGCCTAACAGACCATGATGAAGACCGAATCCTCATCCTCCTCCAAGCCAGCGAGCACCACCGCGCTCCGCAGCGCCTCTCCTCACCGCAACGCGTACGAGGCAGCGGGTATTCACGCGTTGAAGCCGGCGAACGATATCTTAAACAACGGCGACGCTCAGGATGGCAAGCCGAAGCCCACCAGCCGCGGTCGCACGTACGGCTCGAACGTGCACCGCATCAAGAACATGTTCATGCAGATGGGCGCATCCTCACCCACCGAGGCTGAAGACCCGCAAAAGACGAACGGCGACAGCAAAGCGGTGCGTCTCACGCTCCCGCGAGCTGGCAGCCTGAACGAGAACGTGGATCACAGCGCACTGCTCAAACTGGGATCCAGCGTCTCCGAGCGCGTCAACCGCTTCGACAGCAAAACGGACGCGTCGCCCAGGTACTCCAAGCTGCAGGAGACGAGGAAGATCTTTGAGCAGCAGCAGCTGCAGGAGAAGCAGGCGGCTTCCAATCGCGTATTACTGAAAAAAGAACGCGCCGCGGGCTTTCAAGATGCGTCGCGTTTGGACGTGGTCGCGCGCTTTAACGGCAGCACGGAGTCGTTGGATAGCCTGGACGCGATCGGCGGGACCGTCGAGGCTGTGTCGCCCACCGTCAGCCAGCTCAGCGCCGTGTTCGAGCGGGCCGCTGAGCTGCGGAACAACCTGCACCGACTGTCCAACACGCCCCCGCTGCCTCTGCCTCTGCGCGGGGTCACCGGCCGGGTCGGTGCCCTCAACTCCAAAATCATCACCAAACGGGTACGCGCCATTCCTTCGGGGGCAAACAAGGAGGATGGGGTGAACCAACACCAGGCAGAACAAGATGGGAGGTTGAGCAGCATTAATGGAGCATCTGAGCTTCAGGACAGTCTCACATGTTTGGATAAGGAGTCCTTGGAGGAGAAAACGACAGGGGAGAAGGATGAATCTAGTGCCAATGAGTCCAAGGCTCTAGATAAGTGTAAGCCAGGACAGGCCAATGCCACCGAGGCTAAAGGTACTCTTATTTCTGCTGATGTCAATAGTTCGGGAAATGTGGGAGTTACTTCCAATGGAGAGGCCCTGGAGAGAGACGCTATGGAGTCTGGCATCACCAGCACTGGACGGAAGGGCGAAGATGGACACGCTCGTCCATCAGTGGGGGTCAGTAAGAAGGAGGATGATGATGGTACTCTGAAGGAGGATTACTCTACGGCTGATTTGGTGGATATCAGTGCCTACAGCGCAGTGGGAGAAGACTCTGGTGGTAGCCAGCTTGAGGATGAGGAGGATGAAGATGATGCATATGAGCCAGAGTCAAGCTGCTCTGAGATTATTGGATTACCTATGGAGGAGGATCCGCCCCCGAGCCGGAAAATTAAATTCAGCATTGCGCCCATCAAGGTGAGTTTATACAAAGAACAATTTCACCACATTGTAAATTCTGTCATCATTTACGCACCTTCATAAGATTCCAAACCAGTAGGAAGTATGGAGATATTTTGCAGAACATCTAATCTGCCCTTTCTCAACCAGGGCACCAAGGCAAACTTCCAAAGGGGCCTCAGGATAATATAAAAGCATTTAAATAAATTAATTGATATTATTAAAATGAAATGAATAAATTATTGGTCATATATATATATATATAACCAATTAAAATGTTAAAAAACACAAAGCTTATATTGAAAAGCACACAGTTCTTAAAACTGGAATCACAAAATGAAAAAATGAATGAATATCTTTAATATATCATTACTTCCAGTTTCTGTTAATAAAAAAAAACTACTTTGGCATGATTACGGCAGAAATATATAAAATAGCCTTGTGGGCCAAAAACATTGTGCTTGACGTTAAAATGAGGCCTTCGGATTGAAAATGTTAAGAGGAATCACTGGTCAAGCTCAAAAAATAAACAGTGCAGGTCTCATGGAGACACTTGATCGATTTATGTGAAGAACAGATCAAAATTTAAATAATTTACAGAAAATCATCTGCTGTATCATCTGCTGCGTCATTGACACCAGACACCCTTGCCGCATTTGAATTATAAAGAATATTTGAGAGTTATGATGGAGGGGAATATTTTCCGATTATGTACAGTATATTTTGTACTATATTATGTAGACACTAATATTTAACAAGAAATTACAAAACTGACCATGTTTTCAGGTAGAAGATTTTTTATGCACATTAAAAGGTAGGCTATACTTTGAAAAAGTATTTGATTAATCTGTAATCAAATGAACTCATTAAAGTGAATGAGATGGGTCTGGATCACTTAAAATGGTTGCCTGGGGACTAGTGTAGTATGTGTTGGACTGAGTAAATGAATGAACGACATACATTATATAATTCAGTCTGTTACGTATTGGTTCTTGTAGAAGCTTTGGTCTAGTTGCTACGCTTTGGGGCTGTAGACTGGTACAGACTGAATAAGTTGAATAGAATATAACATAATCCAGACTGTCAGTCGGTTTGTTTTGGCATCTATTCTTTCCCAAGGGCTTCGTCCTTTTGATTAGGGGTGACATTTATCCAGGACAAATGCTGACCTGACATCAGTGGCTGAGGTAGCAAACATACCTCAGACAATGTGTCTGATCAGCCCAGCTGCTCTGCTTGTGATCAGGATGTAGTTCTGTCTATCTAACATTTACCAGAAGATCCTTTCAGGACCCTGGGTCCAATAATATTCTCTTGTGAATTAAGAATGTCACTCCCCCAAAACTATACAACCCGCACCGATTAACAATTGCAAGAAGAAAATCATAGGTCATCTTTGGATACTCTGTCTTTATACAGCAAGCTGAAGAAAACTGTTTGCTATTGGCTGTTTAAAAAGACTCACAGATTACATCAATTGTCTGGGAAAAGAACTACACTTTAGCATAGTTAGAGTGCTTATTATGAAAAAAAACATATACTTTATATACTTTAGTGCTAACTGTTCAATATTTTCATTCTCCTAATTGCATGTTAATTTGAATTAAAATGTTAATTTATCACAAAAAAATATTCTCGTCACTTCATAACATTAAGGTTTCAAGGGCTACTTCACCCAAAAGTGAAAATGATGTCATTAATGACTCATCCTCATGTCGTCCCAAGCCCGAAAGACCTCCGTTCATCTCCGTAGTTTAAGATATTAAACTAGTAAGATGTTAAACACAGTTTAAGATATTTTAGATTTAGTCCAAGCGATTTCTGTCCCTCCATTGAAAATGTATGTATACGCTATACTGTCCTTGTCCAGAAAGAAAATAAAGACATCATCAAAGTAGTCCATGTGACATCAGTGGGTTATTTAGATGTTTTGAAGCATCGAAAATACACTTTTGTCCAAAAATAACAAAAACTACAACTTTATTCAGCATTTTATAGACTTCCGGTTATAATATTTGATGTACAGTACATTAAGTGCTCATTCAGTACAATTATACATATTTTTGTAGTCGAACCGTTCTGTATTTATGGAAAGGACCACCGGAGGAAAATAGAGGAGGGTCATGTCTTTTTATTCTTTGTTCAGGGGAGGGTCATCCAACTTTTTTAAGTCTAGGGCGAGGGTCACCCAACTTTTGTATTCATGAAAACAATAAAATTTCAAAGTGGCTTGTTTGGTGCATATTTTTTTCCATGTAGCTCTCTCAGTCTTGCCGTTTGACAGTGTGCGTGCACTTCAGTACTTAGGGCTACCACATTTTTAAATTACTATTTATATTATTTGAAGTTAACATTAAACAATACGTAGACCTACACCAAAAAATAGTTATTAACGTGTAATAACTAGATTAGATAAATTCTTGTGACGTAATACAAAAAGTCTTTAAAGGTGCTATATGAAACGTTTCTTCTAAAATGAATGCTTTTTTATTGCCTGTGTGTGAAGGGGTTGTAATCACACATTACAATGATCCACTTGTCAGGTTTTGCTATCACCTCTGAAGGCCAGAATTCCTATTTCTATGTGAAGTATCCGGGTCGAATTTTCTGCGAAATCCATCGGATGTGACGTGCATGAAGTAAAAATAGCTGACCTATGAATAGAAGAAAGTGAGGGGTAGATATTTCTGGTGGATCTGATAGATAGGAGAAACCCACAGAGAAACAGCAGCTCGTTTAAAACAAATGCTGATGCTCTTTTTAAGAAACCAAACTCACAATGATCATGTAGTATCCTGTAGTAAAAAAAAGAAAAGAAATTGAAATATTTTTTTTTTTGAAAAGATTCAAGTATAGATAAAAGATTCATGTATTTGCTTATTTTCTGCATTTACGCCATAACTACTGTCATTTAAGAGATGGAAACCTGTGACGTTATACTCGTAGCAGTTCATGATTCAAATTTATGTTTTAATAGCTACAACGTCGAAATGAATCTACAACGGTAATGTGGTGCAGGTCAGTTGTTTATGTTCATTGTTATTTTAATGTCATGGGCATTGAGACATTAGGTAGTTCAATATTTTTATATAATATTTTATCCTGTGGTCAGTTCGATTACTTTTAGGATTGGGTGTTTTAAATGGGCTGCCGCTTTGTGAAGAACTTACTGAACTTACTTTGTATTTATTATTAAAGAATATAAGTTTTTTTTTTGCTTTTGTCAAAGTAAAGATATTAATATTAATCATAATAATTTCCTTTTCAGTTATGACTGAGATCTTTCTGCAGAAATGCCATGATACAATTGGCTTAAAAGTCAACCGTTTTTGTGTTTTACGTTGATTGTTTGTTGTATAAAGTTTTTAAATGCTCAAGCTAATTATACATTAAAATGATTATTTTAGTTATGTTTTATTAATTAAATGTCATTGGTTTTCATAAAGAGAAATGCATTTCACTTGTTTAAAATGTTTATTTTGAATTTCATATGATTACAGTATTTGACATCCGTCTTTAAGTGCTATTCGTAACAACACAAACATGAAGGAAATAATATTATCACATAGTACAGTCAAATGGGAAACACGAATTCAGTTACACATTCAATAATCCATTTTCAAAATTAAAAAGTTGTAGGCTATAACGTTGAACTAACAATGAACTATTGTGTTGGTATCCATTATGAATAATAAATAATGCTCACTGACTATACATCATGATTATTCCTATTTAAAAGTATTGACATTAAATATTGTAGATATCGATCCAACCAAAATCCATGTTAAAATGCGCTGTCCCTCACTTCAGTTCTGTGGCTGCTGTTCTGAAACTGCTGGGATGTGGTTCTGTAGCTGGATACTATAGGCTATGTTGGTCTGTCATTTTTTAAAGACCATGTCCACACTAATACGTTACAGAATTGCGTGATAACTTTATTTTTATTTTCCATCTGTATCATCTCAGTGAGCTTTTGTGAGGTTTTATGCATGTGCAGTAAGGTGAATTTAGCGTTTTCAGGTGTTTTTCAAAAGTTTCTCATCCACACTGAAATGCCTGAAAATGCTAGTGTAGACGGAGAGCATTTTAAAATGAAAATGCCATTTTCAAATGTATCTGGATTAATGTAGATGTATAGTGTATTTGTGGAGTGTTTTGAACATGCTGTAAAACAGGGGCATTTCTTGGGACAGCACAAGTAGGACACCAAAAAATGTGACTGACCCAGAAAATGGGTACTTTTGGTAACCCTAGTCCAAAGGTTGGCAAGTTTTGTCCTAGAGAGCCACTGTCCTGTGGAGTTTGGCTCCAACCGTGAAAAAAACCTTCACCTGCCTATAGACCATTTCACAAGATGTAAACAACACTGGTCCAGAAACACTTCCCGTTTCAGTTTGTAACTGTTTTCTGTATTTCAACATCTTAAAGATGTTTGTTTAACTTTTTGATTCAGTTTTAAATGTTCTGTTGGTTGTATTTTATCCCAGCTTTTATGTAGTGTTAAAAAACTGAAACAGGAAGTGCTTCTGGACCAGTGTTGTTTACATCTTGTGAAATGGTCTATAGTCCTCCTAGTAATCCTGAAGACATTGATTCAGGTGTGTTTGATTGGGGTTGGAGCTAATCTCTGCAGGACAGCGGCTCTCCTGGACCGAACTTGCCTACCCCTGCCCTAGAGTAGTTGAATCCTGCTCCTGAAGGGGCCATCTTCCAGCACTTTTGTTCCTTTTCACACAAATTGGGATTACAGGGTAAGATTATTGATTAATACTGTGTTCCTTGTATAACACTATGATATGACCTCAAGACTTATATAGTACATGATTTGTAAACGAATACATTATTGGTTGCATCACATATTCCACTTCATGTGTATGGCTTTTGTGAAGTAGTAAACCTGATCGGTAGCTCAACCTGGTACAACATTGCACTTGTTATGTGGAGAACTCTGATGTGATATGAGTCCCGTTAAAAACTTGAGTCACGTTAAATTATATCAAAGACATGTGTTTTTATCT